GGGCAAAAAAAATTTAGTAATGTTTTAATGTAGTTTTAATTTACTGCAGCGTATTTGTATGGTGGACGAACGGACAGGACATCAGCTTAGGCTTAGTTACTTTATCTTTATTTTCTCTTTACTTTAATAAATTTTTTGTCTACTATTGTCTAAAAAAATTTTATCCAATCAATCCAGTGGGGGGGGGGGCAAGTGCCCCACCTTGCCCCTACCTGCGGGCGCCCATGAGTACCAACACCCGACTATCCGAAACATTCTGGTTAATACGTTCAGAAAATCGACGCTATACTCTATAATTACATACATACAAGCCTATATTACAACTCTCGTTTTTTAATTATTTTTTTAAAATATTTTTTTCTTGGGAACCAGCATTTTGATTTTAATGTCAAATATTTTGGTACAAGTTTTTAAAAAAATAAATGTTCTTCCTAAATTCTCACTGTCAATTTTAAAAGAAAATTCTTCGGATTTAGTTTTTAAAAAATGTGTCAGGTTAAAGTATATCAAAGAGGCAATTTGTAATTTATCTGAAGAAAGTATAGTAGTTTGAAATTTCAAATAAAAATTGTTATTTAGCTGAAAATATTGGTGAATGTATATTTTATACGATTTCCATGTTATAAAATCACACAGTAATTAATTTATTGTATCTTTTGTAAACATTGCATGTCTTCTTAACGTAATTATAATTATAGGCCTACCATTCATATAGTCTTGGCTATGATTTATAAAAATTGCGAGTTTCGAAATCCCATAAAAATGTAGGCCTATACTAGACTATAGACCTTTCTACTAAACGTTTTTTCTCTCCTTTTGTTGACTCTGATAACACTTGGAAATATTTCGAAATGTAATTATTATAAATGTTTATTAAAATAAATCTTTATTTGCGTTCAACATTTAAAATGATGTTATCGGTGCTTTTTTTTTTAACGGAAACATTTATTAGTTAATGAGTTAAATAAAAGCGACTATTTAGTAGTATAAAAAACTAGTTATAGCCCGTCAAACATTGGCGGCAACAATGCGTGAACTTCCAATCATACTTTATACTAAAGTTACTTGACAACCAAGTAACGCACATTTAAAAGAATCCCAATATTTGCTACACCCCTTCCCCCATAGTACGTCACTGCACACTTTTTATTTCAAGCCCATGAACTATATTCATATTCTCATGTCCCAACCACTTTTAAACCGAATATTTTTGACACAATACTTAAATTGAGACGATTTCATTTCCGAAAAGAAAATATTACACTCCAAACGCAATGGCGTTATTAATATATATATACATGGGCGCCCACAGAAAACTTTCTGGGGGGGGGGGGGCAAAAAAAAATTGGATTAACTTGTTGGGGGGGGGGGGGGGCAAAAAAA